AATAACAGCAAATTGTAAATTATAAAAATAGTATAGAATTTACGTTTTCAAACTATTAATTCAAAATAGAATATCAGCTGACGAGAGAATCAGCTGATGAATATTTTCAGAATAAAACCAACTAATTAATATTTTTGAAGGAATCAACTGATGAAATAGTTGTATTAACTATTATTTATAAAAAATATGAAAAAGTCAAATGTTTTATAAAAACAACAAAATGGGATTCAGCCTGAATATTTTTTAAAAAACAATTTTTTTTATAAATACAAAATTATGTCATTTAAAGTGGATCGCTTTAAAATTTGGTTGTTAGCTTTAAAATATGGCTGTAAATTAATATTCAATCAGCTGTTACGTTTTCTAAAGATTTATAAAGTGGCTCCTTAAATTTATACGTACGGCAAATATGCACTGTAACCTTTTTAACCTTAAACCCACGTTGCTGAAATTGACAACTTGTAAACTTATTTGCTCGCAATTGCTTTTTCTTTATACAAATTCCCAAATTTTCAGTCTAGAAAATAACTCAAGAAAAAATAAAGCACCAAACTATGGTAAAATTTTGTCTCATTTGATAACAAATTATCTGTTTATAATCAGGACACAATATTAAATGTTATTGAATTATTTTTTTATCCAGAATCAAACAATAAAAATACATATACATATATGGCCGATATATAAATCGGCCATGGGGTCGGCGAACGTGGTCGTTTTAAGCGATTTTAATAAAATATGGACGATATATGTTTTATATATTAATTTTTAGACATACATATATTTTGGATTTCGTCGTTATAAACGATTTCGACTGTACAATAAATCAGCTAATGAATATTTTGTGGGGAATCAGCTGATGAAACAGTTTCCTACTACAGAACATTTCAACAAGAAGTCTTATTTGGAATTAGCCGATTTTTAAAAGCTGTCACCTTTGAAAATTTCATTTTTTATATAAAAAAAATATTTTATTTATTGTTATTTAAAATATATTTAACTCGTTTTAATTGTTATCATAATTTCAATTTGCCAATTTTTTGCATACGCATGGATTTTTTTTTTTCAATTCCATGTAGCTTTCAATCAGATAAAATATACATATGCACTTAGAAAAATATTTGAACACTACCACAGTCCAGTGTTGTATTTGAAGTTCTATCGATTTCGCCCAGAAATTCCAAGAACTCGATGAGTTGATTCTATTTTTATGCTATATTGATGTAATTACAACTCGATTAAGCAAATAATTTAAGGTTATGCCTATTACCATGCTATTATTTTGCATTACATTATAGGACATTAAGAAAATACGTTTTCGTCATGATGGAATAACATTTCACATGGTTGGCAACATTGCACATCGAATTCAAGTAGAAATTACGCTCTTTTGCAGTTAATCGAGACATCAGCTGCTCTAAATGTACTACCTATTTATTGTGCCATGGTTTACGTTTTGGCCACTTGTCATACGTTAACATTAAAGTTGTACCGTAATAAGCTTTCCTCACAAATATCAGCTGTTATACGACATACTATTAGGGGATCTGGCCACAGACGAATTCAATAGACTATGGTTTGTTTAAAAATCATTCAATTAATGCAAATAATTACGCCGCATGAGTAGGGTGCATTTACACCAAACATATTTTACAGAAATCGTCATTTATCTGGCATATACACAAAGAGAACTTTAACGGCGATTAAATGATGATTTATCATAAAATGCAGTCAGTGTAAATATTAAAATATGATTACTTTTGAATAGAAAACATTTTAATAGCACGTGTGCTCATCAGCTTTTTCGGTTGACCTAATAAATGGATCTAGAAATATTATTTAGATCTGCGTACATTTGATTTTCGAATTATATATCTTCTAATAAAATTTTAAACGTTGATTTTTAATCATAATTATTTTTCTTATATATATTTTTTTTATTTTTGAAATTTGCAATTCAATATCATCCCAAGTACAACGATGGAAATAATAAAAACTATGCATATTAATTAAACTTAGACTTGACCTTGTCTATCACACAAAACAACAACAAAAACTACACCAACTATTACTCAGAATAACCATGATGATGGTGATGCCGATAATGAAGTGTATATTTTCATTCTCATTTCCATTTTGGTTGTTGTTGTTTTTTTATTATAAATTTATTATTCATTTTCTGGTTAATATTACTAAATATATATGTACACACATTGTTGTTGTTAGCAACAATTGTTTTCTTGTGGGTTTGGTTTTTAGTAGTTATTCTTATTGCCATTGTTATTCACACAGTGTGCTGTAATAATCATTAGAATGCCTGTGTAAATATACTAACAGAAAAATTAATATTAAACAAAAAAATATACACCTACAATGTAACATACATACGTGTATATAACAATTTGCGTGACCATGAATAAATTGCACAATGACGTTGGATAAATTACTACACTTTTTTTTTTTGCAAAAACAAAGCAACAAAAATATAGAATTCGATTTTTTTTTGCAAAATCTCTACACGAACATGATTTGTTTTCGCTGGTCAGATTAATGTCAGAAAATAGTTGTTTAGTGTCTATAAATAATTGCCGCAAATGTAAAAAAAACAACATGGAAGTATTTTGTACAATGCAAAAAAGGTGTGTATTTTTAACACATTTTTTTTTCGGAAAAAGTAGGTCAATTCGAATGTAGACGTAACGTCGTCATCACATTAAATAACATATCGTTTGTGAGATCAAATTATCAAATAAATAAAAAAATAGTTTTATTTTATATATTATGGTCAATTAAAACTTAATAGGTAATATAAATAATGATGAATCATTTTAATTAGCTTAGCAAGGGCAATAATTTCTACATTTTATAACACTTCACTATTGGCAGTATTTGTTGTCATTTGTCATACGTTACTATTAAAGATGATAATGATAAGGTTTTGTATCAGCTGTTCTACCATCATAATAATATTGTTAAAGGGTCTGGCCACACATCACTACAGTTTTTAATAAAACTAATTTAAAAACTCCATGCATTTAATTAAAAAGGGTATTTATAAAAAAAAAAAACTATTAAAAAATAATTTATCCTTTCGAATAAATGGGATTTAATATAAAACATAATGGATGAAATAAAACATGGTCAATGTAAACTTGTTTCAAATACCAGGTCATATGTCAAGTGGTTTAATTAAACTATTGAAACATTATTTCTATCAATTAAGTAAATTTCAATATATTATATTAAAAAAAAATATCTTAATTTTTAAGAAAGGGTTTGTGGGAATTTTATTTATAATATGTTTACAATTTATATATTTTGTATGGTTGGTTAATAAGCCTTTAATTATGAAATATTGAAATTCTTTTGAAAAATTTAAAAAAATGTGATGTGAAAAATAATGATCCTGTATCTAATGGAAGAAGTAGGAAGTCATGGCATAACATATATGTTGGTGTTTGCATGATTTTATTTACAACTTCATTCCATTATATTTCAGTTTTTTTTTTTTCACCATCAAAATTATTTACAAAATTTATTTTCAATTTTTTTCTTTAGTTTTAAATTTTAATTTTCTTTAATATACATATGTTTTTGACAATTCTTATTTATTTTTGACATTGTTCTCCCATTCTCTATTTTCTTGTTTCAGACTCTTTTTGTGCTCTTACATAACTACATAACAAATAAAATAACAACAACCGGGAAAACGTCAAATAAATTAAATTAAAATACACACAAAGGACACTATACAAATTTGAAAAACAAAAAATCATCATCAAAAACAACATTTTTTACACAAAATAATTTTTGGAAAAAATCATGATGATAATTATGAATTCGTGCGAAAATGTATCGCTATCTTAATGCCCAGCAGCAATATAAAAAACGAACAAAATTACGAAATTATCATCAGCTGTTATTATATTTCGTGTTTTCGTTAAGAATTTTAACGCCGTTACTAACATTTTTGTCGCCGCCGTCGTCATTGTCATCGCATTCGCCGTCATTGTTGTGACCCGTTATGAATTTAAAAATCAACATCTATTGTTTGTTTAATCGAAGATTTATTACGCAACAATTAATCTCTACAAAATTGCAATTATAACGTAGATGTTACAAAAATAATTCACATAACGCTTGTTCGCAGAAAAAAAGAAACGGAAGACATTAGAAGAAAATATAACAAACAAACAAAATCAACCCTGATAAACATAACCCTACTTTCTCCTGCCATCATTACGTAAAACTGATACAAATCATATTATTTTTTGTAAATTATTTTAAATTCTACTTCCACCACCACACCATTATTCATTTTATATAACGAAAAAACTATTATATAAATATATTTTGTGTTATATATTTCGTTATATTTTATTTTGCTAAACATTTGCCGTCGTCGTTGTCAACAAATGCAATAATAAATAATATAAAAAATAAACATTTCTCATATATATATATTGTGTTAAAATTCATTATAAATAATATTAGTATTATAACAATATTAATAATAAATAATAATAACAACAAAACAAAAAACGTAACAAAAAACTGCCTTTAACAACCCCAAAAACAAAACAACAAGCAACAAAATATCGAATCGCTAAGAAAAAGAAAAAAAACCAACAAAATAAGATCCTCAACTCTACTACAAAAATATAAAAAGATATACCCACCGATAATCTGGCGTCATACTCTTTTAACTTAACTGGAACGCTCTAATCTAAACAATTATTATCAATAATAACAAACAACAACATTAACAGCTGATTTGAAAAGGAAGCAGAAGAAGAAAAAAAGCCACTCACACACAGCCAAAACACCAAAGGATATTTTTTCCTAACAACGAACAAGCAGAAAAAGAAGAAGAGAACAACCCAGCCCATTAACCTATCATCTTTCGTTTTTAATTTGTTGTGTTTCTGAAGCGATCAACAACAAATCATCATCCAAAATTTCTTTGATCACACCCCACCCCACCTCCGTTACAGTAAGATATGGCAACACCTCAAGTCAAAGACTTGGTGTTGCGCTCGCCAGCTGGTTCATCTGAGGTCATAACATTCACCTGGCCACTGCAAGTCGGTACCGGTTCAGATCGTCATGACAATGGCATCGATATTATTGACACAATTAAATTTGTTTGCGATGAACTGCCCAGCATCTCGTCGGCATTCGAGGAGATTAATCTTAATCATATAGACACTGCCTGTTATAAGACTATGACAAATCTTGTCGATCGTTTTAATAAAGCTGTTGACAGTATTGTTGCATTGGTAAGTACCAAAGATCTTTACATTTAAAAATATATATTTTATAACTTTTTTTTATAAAAAAAGGATAGTCCAAAAAACGTGATGAAAAGTGCAATCAAATTTTATTTTACAGAATGCAAGAGATTATTATTTTGTAATAGGTTTTTATAAGAATTCTTTACCATTTGCCACACGTCATAGTTGAAGGTTTGCTAAACGCAAATTGACAAACGCACTAATTGAAGGATCAGTGTAAATGACATTTAAATAGCGTTTGCTATACGCCGCAATTAAAGGTACCAGCACTGTTGTCACGTAAATTGACACCACTCAGCCAAATTATTTTTTGCTAGGGAGATTTTGATACCCAATGCGAACAAAAAATATCAAATTGCAACCAATTCGATTGAAAAGCTTTACATTGTACTGGATTACATACGGTCTGTTCCCGTACTGCAAGAATCTACTATATTTTACTATTTTCTTCGATAACATAAAGGAAATTTCGTTATCGTAGTAAAAAGTAGTAGATTCTTGCAGTACGGGAACAGACCAATATATGTCAACTAATAGTACTTTTACATATAACCGGATTTCGTTAAACCAGTGGGTTTCAAATGTCAAAATTTTTTACCCACATTGAAGGCTCGTAGACAAAGTCGTCTACTTAATTGGTGGTGGCGCTGTTAATACTCGACCATCGGGAGGCGGGCCAACAACTTAAAACCAAAAAAAGTCAAATTTTGCATATACTATGTCAAATAAATCCTCATAAAGTAGGTTAACACGGAAAAAATTTCTAATGTAAATGTAAATGGAGATGCCGTTTTATTGGGGACTACCCAAAAATGACGAATATTGATATTTTTGGTAGGCAAATTTTGGTCAATTTGCCCAAAATACTGAATATTGGAATGTACCTATTCAGTATTTTGGGCAAATACTGAATATTGGAATGGGTTTTATCAAATCTTTTTCAGCGATGGTGGGGTCGTTTTGCAGATGTCTTTTTACGATACTGATTGCGTAGAGGTCTCACACCCTAAAAACCCCACTTCAGTTCTTTACAAAATTCCTTAAAAAAAATTTTAAAAAGAACCACCCGGAAATTTTCTTGAAGCAAATTACACTTCATTCCTTCTTTTCACACAGAAGGAAAATTGGTTGAGTATTCTCGCTCCATTTTTCGATCTGCATCATCCCCAGGGGTGGGGTTTATTAGAGTCACATTCGACCGATATTTTTTTTTCTGTAACAAACGTCATAGAAGTACTAGCAATATATGTGCAAAATTTTCAAATCTCTATCTTAAATATACTAATGTAAATGTCCCGATTTCAATAATATTCCGCTTCAATTATTTCCAATTTTAAAGTGACCTGTAATGATGCCTATGGTCAGTTTCAGGTCTTTCTTACCAAGGGAAATCAATAATTTGGCTCTACACCTTAAAATTGCCTTGTTTGGACAATCCTTTTTCTTTTGCCTATATGTACCTTGCATTGAGTGAGATATTATTATCAGTAACCTTTCCATTGTTCTTTTTTAATTTTGTTAGGTTAGATTCCTAAAAACTTGTTTGGACAATCCTTTTTTATGTCTCTGTCTAACCCTTTCTAATTTTGCTAACCCTCTTTTCTTGCATTTCATTTTTTTTTAGGAAAAAGGAACCTCACTGCCCGCCGAGCGTCTTAATAAATTCGCTCATCCCAGTCTGTTAAGACATATATTACAATTAGTTTACAATTTCGCCGTACTCGATCCGGATAAGTTGAACAATTATGAACCCTTTTCACCGGAGGTCTACGGCGAAACCTCCTACGAATTGGTTCTGCAAATGATAAAACATGTTAATGTTACCAATGATGATACGTTTATAGATTTGGGTTCCGGCGTGGGACAAGTTGTTCTACAAATGGCCGGTTCCTTTCCCCTAAAATCTTGCATTGGTATCGAAAAAGCCGATACACCCGCCCGTTATGCCGAACGTATGGATATGTTCTTTCGCCAATTTATGGCATGGTTTGGTAAACGTTTCTGCGAATATAAATTGCTAAAGGGCGATTTTCTTGTCGATGAACATCGCGAAAAGATAACCAGTTCGTCGTTGGTGTTTGTAAATAATTTTGCATTCGGACCGAATGTTGATCATCAGCTGAAGGAGAGATTTGCCGATTTGAGAGATGGTGCGCGAATTGTTTCATCGAAATCATTTTGTCCCTTGAATTTTCGTATAACCGATAGGTAAGTTGGGAACAACCAAGCAAAGGTCAATACAATACAAATTATGTAATGGACTCTTTTTATTGGTAAAAGTAAATCGATTATAAAATTGAATCTGCAATTTGTATTGTCCTGATTTTTTGTTGTGGTATTTTTTGTTTTCCTTTGAATTAATCAAATGTCTGTTTCGGTTCTTTTTTGCAGAAATCTCAGCGATATTGGCACAATAATGCATGTCAGCGAAATACCTCCCCTTAAGGGCTCCGTATCATGGACCTGCAAACCGGTTTCCTATTATCTCCATGTCATCGATCGTACAATATTAGAGCGTTATTTTCAACGGCTCAAAACTCAAAAAGGTGCTGAAAACGATCACGTGGGTAAGTTTGTGCGACGGGGCCATTGTCTTCTAAGGCCATCCACATCATGGGCTTGGAACATCGGTTTCCTATCATCATCAATCTTCAAAAAAAAAAAAAAACCCAAAACATATTGTGCTTCAATAACTAGGACAAATGAAACAAAAATAAACAATTAAAACCAGGCTAAAAACCGTACCTCTCTCATGCTGAAAATGCTGAAACACATCACCCCACAGACAGTGTATATTGCGTTCTGCGTTATATCCAACGATTGTGAATTATTTGTGCTAATTTTCGTTTCTACAAAAAAATTACTCTCCTCTAAATTCATATCCGCAAACAAAAATCATTTCGAAATTAGTTCATTTGTTTTAAATTGGATATTCACCTGTTTTCCTTTCATAATTTTTTTTTTTTGTTCATCTCTGTTTTTTTAGTTTGTTTTTCGAAACATATGCTTGTTTTCATATCGAAAAGAAATTGAATTTTTGTGTATCGATTTTCAATATAATTTTCGAAATCAAAACTAGTTTTTGTTTTGACTGAAGTATTCCATGTCAAATAATTGCGAATGAATGATTCGCCTATATTGTCTTAGTCGTTTTTTTTTACTAACTTGTTCGAAATAATTACAAATTTTTATTATATACATACCTATTTACGATTTTTGAAGGGTGTAGGGCTAATATACAAGTCTCAGGTGTTACCTTTTCGGAGGATTATGGTATGTTTCAGGTGGCTAGACCTTCAAATGTTGCAAAAATCCTTTGGAATTTTATACCGGGTACTTGATATATGTCCTTCGCCTTTATTATGTAATCTATATCCAAAGATGTATGTCACTTTGTTGTAATATGTAAATCCTATCCTTCTTTTGCATTAATAATCCTGGCGATAACTTCCCACGTATTTATTATAAATCCGCTAAAAATATTTAAATTGACTAGGCGCACTTTTTTAATACATCGATAGTCTTTGAAAAAAAAATCTTCCAGAAGAAAGAATGCAAATGTCTTTTTACTATACTTGAAGGCTCTGGTTGCGTAGAGATCTCAGACCCTAAAAAATCGCCACTTCAGTTCTTTACAAAATCCACGGCTCGGTTCCATCAAAGTCCACATCTCAGTGTCAAAAAAATCCACTTTTAGTCCTTGAAAATTTTAAAAAGAACCAAACGGTATAATTTCCTGTAAAACAACGCTTTAGTCCTAAAAATTTATTTTTAAATCGAAGCTTCTGTCCTTGCCTTTCCTTCAGTCCTTTCCAAGCTGGTTGCTATTCATCAGAGGACAGCATCTTCTTCCGCGATGGTGGTGTCGCATTCCAGAAGTCTTTTTACTATACATGAAGGCTATGGTTGTGTAGAGATCTCAGACCCTGAAAAATCCCCATTTCAGTTCTTTACAAAATGCACGGTTCGGTCCCATCAAAGTCCATATATCAGTATCAAAAAATCCACTCTTTAGATTTTGAAAAATTTAAAAAGAACCACCCGGAAATTTTTGGAAAAATCTACGCTTCAGTCCTTCAATATTTTTTTTTAAATCGAAGCTTCGGCCCTTGCCTTTCCTTCAGTCCTTTGGAAACTATTCATCAAAAAGAATCTATCAAAATCATCACATCTCAGTGTCAAAAAATCCTCTCTTTAGTCCTTGAAAATTTTAAAAATAACCACCCGGAGATTTTTTTGAAAAAAAAACTAAGCTTTAGTCCATTATTTTTTTTTAATCGGAGCTTCGATTCATCAGAGGACAGAAGGCTCTTGTTGAGTATAGATCTCTTGCTTCATTTTTCCATTTATATTTAGGCTTTTCAGATGCTTATTTACGAGCTCCTCACCTACCTTGTTTGTTGTTGTAGTAGCAGCCCTCGTTTCGGACCATATACCCCTCTGTCGTGGAAACGCGATAGTGCCATGCATGATGTCTTCAAGTGCAAAGGGCTATGGATTTGAAAAGAAATAGTCCGTGATACTTTTGGCGGTGTCAATTCCGACTCGACGATCTTGGGATCATAGACACACAGTCAATTCCTCTGAAAGGCTCCCTCAAAACCGCCGCCTATCATACTCAATGACTTTCCTTATCGAAAACCTGTAGACTCATCCGATAGCATTCAGATATTATCCCGTAGGCGGACAAAAAATGTTTTTTATCGGATCCAATGCAATGGATGTTACAATGTATTTTTTCACCAGTTAATATACCTGGAACTGTATTGTATCGATTCTCTGTGAGTAGGTGTGAATAGTGGAACCCCATAAAACGTCTTTGTAAAATACAATTATTTAATTATCATAAATAAAATTTCAAAAAAAATATATATAAACTTTAAGAAATCTAGCCAATAATCCACTAAATTCCCAATTCAATGAAAACAAAAATCCCAAATTACATTTATTTCCATATGTGACATATATACAAACCCCTCGACCATACTAATTCCAAACATTTTTCTTTCTTTTTTTTTGTATTTTTTTCTCCATTTCCATTGTAGGCGGTTCAACACGTACCACTCGAGATCGTGCCAAACGTGAAGCCAATAATCAGGCAAATTCACAAAATTCCAATTCATCGCTAACAGCTCGTACCAATTCTCCTGCTGCCCATGCCAAAGATACAAGCAATAGTAGTTCGAACAACAACAACAATAATTCCACCAACAATACTAGTAGCAACACAACGACAACAACTAGTAGTACAACAAAAACAAGACAACAGCAGCAACAACAACAGCAGCAGCAACAACAACGTGCAGCTGAAATGGAAACATCAACGGAAAGTGATGGTGAGGCTGCATCAACAACAAATGGTGGCAACAGCAATGGTAGTGGTGGACCTGTCACCCGTAAAACTTGGTCCGATTGGGCCAGTTCAAAGGGTAAAAGTTCCCAGTCGGATGAGGAGGAGAATAATAATCAAACTACCACAACATCTTCCACGCGCACTGTGCGCACAACAACACAAAAGAAACGTAAGAAATTAACGCGCAAAGCGGCAATTGCTAGCAAAAGTGCGGCAGCAGCGGCTCAACGCGAAGCTGCGGCCAAGGAGAGGGCGGAAGCTGCAGCAGCTGCCGCTAAAGACAACTCCTCAAATCAGGATGGTAGTAGTAGTGCTAAAGGCGGAGGAGCAGCTAGTGCAGGTGGAACATCTACAGTCGGTCGTAAGGGCCGACTAAAGAAGGGCGCCGTACGTGGCAAACGTTGTGCCAATATTGCAGGTTTGGAAATTTTGCACAAGCAAACCCTACTCTCCACTTCCATCGAGGCGATGAGCAAGAAGTTACCCCCGGCCCCTGGTTGTGTTGATCAACAGCTGACCTCATTGTTGACCGAAAATATGGCTCATCGTGAATTGGATATACCAACCCAACCGAATGACACCCCATATGCATTACAAATATTGCTGGATGTTTTCCGTTCCCAATATATGGCCATGATTGAACAAATGAAATCGAAATCATTTGTCCCCAACATCAAGAGGCAAATACAATTGGAACAGGAACGCAAGCAGCGCATTAAGAATCGTGCCTCCCAACTGGACAAACAAATAAAGGTGCTAATCGATGACAGTGTGGCCTTGTTGAAAGTTCGCATGAATGAATTGGGCATTAATGTCTCGTCGCCCAATGACTTGATTGCCAAGGCGAAGGAGATAGTGGGACGCCACAAGGAACTGCAGGGCGTGGCCAAGAAAATACAAAGTCAGGTTACGGCCTGCGAAATGGAACAACGCCGCCTGCTGAAGAAACATTTACAACACCTGCCGGAATACCAAATGCTCTATGGAGCCAATGGCAAGACGAAACTACATGACGTGCCGGGCGGCGGTGAATTGTCAGAGGCCGCAGCCCATGAATTGGTGTTGAAAGAAATAGCCAACACCTTGGCTCAGCGCAAGAAATTGGTTGCCCAAGTATCTAGTATTGAAAAGGAGGCGAAGAGTTTGGAAAAAGCTGCCGAAGAACGACGAGCCACGGCTGCTCTTCTGGCCCAGGGAACAAATATCATTGTAGCCAATAATAATTCCAGTAGCAACAGTAGTAGAGCTTCTTCTTCGTCCATGGCAATGGATATTTCGGCATCTTGCAATCAACCCTTGCAATTGACCACACATAATCATGTAAATACCACAACGATATCCATTAATCATGTCGCACAAACATCTTCCTCATCATCCTCCTCGTCATTGTCGTCTGTGGCGGGAGCTGTGGGATCAGCTGTACCAACTGCTGCTGTTGCTTCTACCACCAACACCAACTCCACCTCTACCTCTTTAGTGCCAAATAATGCTGCTATCATACAACCGTCTATAACTGTTACCAAAACAACCACCGGTAAATCGGGTAGAAAAGCCCGTGATCATCGATCGCGATCTCAAGAATGGCCGGATGTGCCAGATGTGGGTAAAATTGAGGAGAGTAATCCGGAAGTGTTGGCCCAAAAGATATTGGAAACGGGCCGGAAAATAGAGGCTGGCAAATTGGCCAAACAGCAGCAGCAACAACAACAGCAAATGCAGCAACATCATCAGCAGCAACAACAACCTTTGGCTCTCAATAATCATCACCACCACTATCAAATGCAGCAGCAGCAACACCTGCATCATTCTAATATTCACCAACAGCAGCATCAACATCAACATCCCCACCACCATCCGGAGGATAAACCTTATCGTAAGAAACACGAACGTTCGGCAAGTAACGAGCATTTACCCAGTCTGGGTTATGGTGCGCCCGGTGCAGCTCAATATCCAACACAACATCCAGATGCAGCCACGCTCATGCCTGCACCCAAGCAGCGATCTTCGGCGGGAGAACATCCCATAAATTTGAACAATGGTAATAACAACCCCATGCGTTCTATGAATGGACCCAGCAGTACCAGCATTCTGCCGAAATGTGATATGCCTGGTATGCGTAAAAACCATGCATCGTCGTCATCCTCCTCCTCCGCAGCAAATGCTTCGGCAGTGGTCAGCATTCAGGAATCACCAAAAGTAGCGAATTTCGAAGATCGCCTTAAGAGTATAATAACATCGGCCCTTAATGAAGATCAGGAACAACGCAAAGCTCAACAGGTAGTGAATCAAGTACAAGTGGATATAACACCCATACAACCATCGACAGTGGCGGCTGCTAAACGACAAAAACATGCGTCGGCTCCCCCACCACCACCACCTTCGCAAAGCAATCACAACTCGTTGAGTAATATTATCAATGTGGCTACGCATAGCATGACCCACCTGAATGCAACCACCACAATATCACCCATAAATACAGCATTGCCACCACCACAAGCTGGAGCCCATAATAAATATGCTCCTGGTGGCGTAGGATCAGCATCCAAGGCCATGTTGCATCCTTTAAATACCACGTCTTCCGCAGTCATGAACTCTGCAACATCAAAAGGAGCGTCATCATCCTCCAAATATCCTCCCCACAGTGGTCATCCGAATCATGTTGGCCCACCACCACATTTGAATAGCAGCGGCGGCAGCAGTGCGAATAATCATCCCTATGGACATCCTGCTGAACATAATAATATGATAAGGAGACGAAGTTCGATTAGTGCTGCCAGTTATGAACAGTATATGGCCCAGCAACAACAACAGCAGCAGCAACATCATCATTTGCATCAAAATCTGCATCACCACCACCATCATCAGCAGCAACAGCAGGCGCTACAACAACAACAGCAGCAACAGCAACAGCCATTAATGTTGAATGCAAATAGCCACAACAACATGGCATTGGAATTCAAACAACCACCCTTGGAAAATCATTTGTCACATCAACAGCGTTCCAGCAGCCGGGAAATGTTAATCGATGAACCACCCGTACGGTCCAGTTCAGCCAATTCTGATTCGGCATTATCATATTACCCACCCACCCGGGATCGTTTAATGTCCATGGAAAGAAGTAATAGTCGAGAATCTGCTGGACAAAATCATGGCCAGCCGACACAGCAGCCACCAAGCCGGCCAAGTTCGAATTCATCTCAGCCCGATTATACCCAGGTGTCACCGGCAAAAATGGCCCTAAGAAGACACCTGTCACAGGAGAAATTAAATCAACATATGCCACCGGGATCGTCGGGTGGTATGGCTTCCAAGACCATTGGCGATCTGGTAAATGGTGAAATTGAAAGGACATTGGAAATTACCCATCAATCGATTATTAATGCGGCCGTTAATATGTCCACCGTGGGAAATGCTTCGGGTGAACGTAATCCCTATCTATTGGAGCGTAGTATTTATGGTAGTGCTCATGATTTGCACCGTGAAAGGGATCGTTCCAATGAAAGAGAAAGAGAGCGAGAGAGAGAAAGGGAACGGGAACGTGAACGAGAAAGAGAGCGGGAACGCATGATTATTAATAATTGTGCCCAAAGGCCGGAACGTGTTCATGTTAAACATATGGATGAAGCCGGTTCTGCACCTCAACAACAACAACCTCCCAATCCTGCAACAGGTTATGCTGAAATATCTTCACGAAATTCCGTAGAACCCAAATCGGCCTATACCCATAATTTAGCCACATTGGCCAATGTTGCATATCAACACAAGACAATGGTTGGAACGAATAACGCAAATGCAACCAGTGGTCCAGCACCTGTCAATTCCTCTTCTACGTCGTCAGCCTCGTCGACATCATCGACCTCTAGACATTATAACAATCGTGAAAGAGATACCTCCTCGTATCATTCAGCAAATGCCAAAATGCCCACAAATATGGTAAATTCTTCAGTGGGGGCACCATCGTCTACAGCCAACAATAATCGGGATTATCAACCGGTAGCATTGCCCCGTGCCGAAATGAAACCGTGTATTGAAGCATATTTTCAGGATGAACAACAGCATCAGCAGCAACAACAACATCATTCGTCATCATCGCATTCACACAAGTCGAACAAAGATAAACATTCGAATCGCGGCAATCGTATGAATGGCACCAATCCTCCGCTGGAAGGTAAGTCTAGAATTTAAAGGGCAGTCTTAACAGAATTCGATTTTATAGGTATAGTCTTTATAGGGCTATGATCAGGGATGGTCCGTATGACGAATTTTTAGGTTTTCGACTGTCAAAAAGGTGTAAACGTCGAAAACGTCATATACCTGTATAAAATGTAGTAAATGTAGAAAACGTCATTTATTCGAATATTATTACCATATAAAGTTATTTTCAAAAATGCATATTATTTTTACATATATTTGTCTGTTCCTTACTAGAACTAATACAAAATTCTAAACTTTTTGGAGAATTTCTTTTTTGAAATTTTATATGGATTTCAGTAAAGCATACGTAATTTCCAAATTCATTAATGGAAATAGGCATTTTGTCAAAAACTTAATGGTTTTGGGTGGGTTTCCGAGTTTCTGACTATGTAATATACGTAAAATGTATGTCATGTAAATTTCTGACCTCTCTGGCTATGATGGTTTAATGTTAGACTTTTGTAGGTGAAAACCTCTTCTAATGGCCTATAGGAGATGGAAGGCCAATCCAAAGTCTGCTATTTAAAGAAGCCAATTTATTGATCTTCTAGATATAGAAGATAGGTCTTCTGAATCATGCAGACCAAGAGAAGGTCTGCGCTTAATGTTTAATTAAAAAAAGTGAAGTTTTGTTTAAAATGAGCAACAAAAAATATTGAATTTGAAAACTCTTAATTTGGGGGCTATACGTAATCAAAAAACAATTTTTGAGATCTTTTAAATTATTTTTCCAACAATTTTCCAGGTTTGGCTGCCTCTTTGATGGCCTCACGCAAATTTCGTGAGGAGCACGAGGAAAGGCAAAAACGGGCAGCAGCTGCTTCGTCAACAAGTGGTGGGATGAATGGGAACAATAATAATAATGGTGGCCATCATAGCGAACACAATGTCAATCACAATCAAATGCATCATTATGGTAGTAGCAACAGCAATACCAACAACAATGCATATGCTGGTCAACAGCAACAACATCCAACATCGACAAATCATAATAGCCATCACAATCAACACAATGGAACTCCCATGAAGGTGGAACGTAAGTTCTAAGGAATTGTTATTTTGCCTTGTGATTTATATAAATTTAATATTTCATCTTCTTCTTCTTCGGGAAATTTCAGTTGGTGTAAAACGTACTTCACCCATGACCAATCATCATCCCCGGCCATCGAAAATACCGCATTATTCAAATGATCAAATGTCGTCGGCAGTTGGCCAGGCAAATCCATATGCCAATACAAATGGCGGCCTCAATCATCATCACCAGCAACAACAACACCATGCATCTGGTGGTTATGCTCAACATTCACCATCATCTTCGTCGTCGTCTTCACAACATAGACGTGGTAATAAACTAACTGTGGAACCACTTATGAGTCCTGAAATTAATTCAATAATGGGCGGTGATAATGTACGAGCAATGGCCTCATCATCATCGGCCAGCAATGGTAGACCATCTGTTAATAATAGCCAACAACAACATCATCATCATCAGCAGCAGCAGAACCATCATCAGCATAACAAACAACATGGTCATGGTCATTATAATCATCTACAACAGCAGCATCAGAATCAGCAACAACACCAACACCAAAATAACAACCACCATTCCCATCATCAACAGCAGCAGCTGCAACATCATCATAATTCCCTAAACTCCTCCACAATGAACAACAACAGCAATAATAATATTCCCAACAGTCATCATCAACAACAACAACAACACCACCACCATCATCATCACCAGCAACAACAACAACATTTACCACATAACTCAACAAGCAATACCTCTGCTGCAGCAGTTTTGACAAATGCCAACCCTGTTGTGGGAGGTCGTGCCGCAGATGATGGTAAGCTTGATTTTTCCAATAATATTAGCACACAACAAAGCTTTCAACAGCAACAACAAAAACATGAACATCATCAGCAACAAGAACCACAAAACACCATAACCAATACACTTGACACTAAACACAAAATTAACAACAAGAAACATACTTCTATTGATACTCTAACCACAACTAAACATGAAAGACATAGTCCAAATAATACTCATGAAATTAGTTCATCCTCCATTATTAATTACTCTAACTCCTCCTCCTTATCATCATCATCATCTACCTCCACCACTACTTCCTATAGTAATTCTAAGATAATACAATATGCTAATCCAAACTCCTCCAATAATACTAATAATAACAACAACAATACTGATATTATAAATTCCACCACCAATGATATAACACCAACACCATCATCATCATCATTATCGTCGTCATCATCTACAACAATAACAGCATCATCATCACTATCCTCATCTTCATCAGCATCATCACCACCCGAACATTCACAAACTTTCTCATCAACATCATCACCTTCTCCCTCTCCCACCAGAGCCTATAATTTAGCCGTACCCAGAACCACAACAACCAATGACCACAAACAAATTCCATTTGCCGATGATCATGATCCTTGTTCTTCCCCAACTAGCGACGAATAACGTGGCGATTAAAGCAATCTCTCTCTATGACACAACAAACAACTAAAAAAGAAATGATAAAAACAAAAACAAAACTTTGACAATAATTTTGAATTTTGTTATATAATCATGTTATTATTATTAGCAGAATTATTAGACACGATAGCAATGTTACAACAATTTATTAATTATTAATTACTTTTTTTCTTTTATAACAAAATTTTTCTATTTTGATTTATATTTTTTAACTCAATTTTTATTTTTATTACTTATATACAAAATCATTTAATGTTGTTAAAAACCTAAACTTTTATTTTTTTATATATACATATTTTTTATTATAAAACACACACACTCAGCAATATAACTATTACTTTTTTATATATATACATTTTATTTTTTGTTTCATTAATAGAACCAAAAGCTCAAGCAACAAAATTTGATTTTCATTTGTTTTATTTTTTTTTATTATCCATGTTTTTTTTCTTTTCTTTTGTGTTTTGTATTAAAAATGCTGTTGTCCATTGTTGTCGTAAACGTGTTAAATGTTTGAAAGGAAAACAATGAAAACGCGGGGTTTTTTATACAGATTAGAATTAGATTGGTCTATATTTCAAGACATTACAAGGAATTGGTGTACTACTATTTCGGATATTTCGAAATAATTTGTTATATGAAGATATTTTTGTGGCTATAAATAACATAAAATAACATATATTTTTCAGACTTTTTTTGCATAGAGTCGTCTTTTGTCTGTAGGTAGGTTAAGTTCGAAGATCAGCCCACGTTTAGACATAGCTCCCATATAAAGGTACCATCCCAATTTTCTAAATTTTGGAACATAATAATAATGTTGGTCATCATAGCGAACACAATGTCAATCAGAATCAAATGGTAGTAGCAACAGCAATACCAACAACAATGCATATTGTGGTCAACAGCAGCAACAACAACCAACATCGACAAATCATAATAGCCATCATAATCAACACAATGCAACTCCCATGAAGGTGGAACGTAAGTTCTAAGGAATTGTCGTTTTTCCTTGTGATTTATACAAAATTTAATATTTCTTCTTCTTCTTTTCGCGAAATTTCAGTTGGGGTTCTTGAGCGTTTTTTTTTTTAATTCGCTGAAATTTGGTACATTTCTCCACAAAAATTTTAAATATTAAATATAGGTCCACACATACCGACCGGCACCCACCCCTGTGTTTAGTATTTTGGGCTTTGATCGTATTTTTCCACCGAATTGGCTGTAATATAGTACTTTGAGTTCTTATTGGGTATAGGTTTTTTGTTGTTGCTTTTACACAATGGGCTGAGCTGACAGACGCCTATACCTATATGCCCATTGTATAGGTATTTTGTTTTCGTATGTGGTAACAAATCTTCCTCTCAAAATTTTTTTATATTCGCCCCCATTTTCGGGGGTAGTCTCCACATAACCCCCGTTTTTTTATATTAAAAGAGTTATCTGATTTCTCTGGGTTTTGGGTTTGTTTCTAAGACTCTGTTGTAATCATTCTACCTGCGACGGACATCGAGATAAAAAAAAACTATATCGTAAGATTCGAGAATGAGCTTTTTGGTGTTTTTAGGAAAAAATCTCCACTAAAAAAAAATTTTTGACATTTGTATTTGGTGAGCATTATGGTATACATAAATCGGTTTGTAGAAATGTTGATAAATCTCACGATAGCTCTCGAAGGGAGTAACCGATTTCATCCAAATTTTGCACTTTCTACCAAGCTTCTTAGTTCAAATTCGAAGATGGGGGAATATCGGTCCACTCTTTTACGTACCTCCTCCTTCAAAATGGTCAAAATTGTGTTAAAAATTAATTTAATAATATCATGCGAACGGACTATTCGATTTTAACCAATCTTTGTATAACCTATATATTTTACAAAGCCTAGATCAAGTCCGTAGATGGGCCATATTGGTCTACCCGTTCTGGTGGTACCTCCCTCACAAAATGGTCAACATTTACAATATTTAAAAATCTCAATATCAGGCGAATGGAATGTCCAATTTCAACCAAATTTTGAAAATCCTTTTATCTTTACGAAGCCTAGATTAAGTCAGAATATTGGACCCATTGGTCCACTCTTTCTCCACGAATGATCAAACTGTTCAAATTTTATAAATCCAATATCAGGCGAATGGAATGTTTGATTTGAACCAAACTTTGCACAACCTATTATTTTTACCAAGCCTAAATCAAGTCCGAAGATGGGACCCATCTGCCCTGGTACCTTCCCCAAAAAGGGTCAGTATTATATAAATTTGTACATTTATCGTTAATTAAGCGAATTGAATAACCGATTTTATCAACGTTAAATCCGAATCCTCTTTCATATAAAAGAATAATAAAACCTGTGTGTAACTCTGAAGACTTCAGCAAAACATAGGCTGAGGGTATATATCTGTCGGCACTGACACTTTTTTACATTTTTATAAAAATACCAGACTTTTCAACAAAACCACCCCACCGTCTAAGGTTTTTATTTTGTTTGTTTGTAAAATGCTAGACTATTTTGAAAACGCTGTGCATACTTCAATAGTTAAAGTGTCTTTTGTAGGTCTCTATAGACCGTAGCGCTTAGGAAGTTAAGGCGGATAATTTACAGATCACCTATAAGTAATTACACTTTGAGAGTCCGATCCAAGTCTTTTTTTAGTCCAAACGTTTTTTACAGACCGTCTATAACAAGATTTATTCATAAGGTTAACCGGCAGGCGCCTTACTCTTTCCATGCTGTCAACTTTTTAATCGCGAAATACAAAACAGAACAGGATAAAAATTCGAAATATCTTTCAAAAAAGTGTATTGATAAGATTTTATGTTTATATATTCTTCAAACAATAAATTTGACAGTCAATGAAGACTTTGAATTCGCCTCCTTGTTAACCTTATTAATAATCCTTGGTCTATAGTAAGAATACTTACAGATTTTATGATGGACATAACCTCATTTTATTCTTAAAACTTCACATGAAACAGACAAACAATGTCTTTTATTTAAATTTGAAATATTTCAATACTGTAAAAACTGGTAATGGTTATAATAAATTAAATATTGGCTTAATCCTAATTTTCCATAACTTCGTTTGTGAAACAAAAACAAACAACTGTAAATTATTTAATTCCCAAAAAAAACATCTGTTCATACACACATTCATTTAAAAAATTGGTAATCATTTTCTCTTCTCCCTCTCTCTCTCTCGCTCTTTATTAAAATTTTCTTTACTAAATTTAAATTTTTCATGTAAATAAAATTACATAAATTTGCTCTTTCTCACTAATCAAATCCGAAAACAACAAATGAGAATACAACAACACCAACCATTGCCACCGCCACCTATAAAAGTGGATATTCAAAATTCAAAACAAATATATATATATATATATATATCAAAACTCTACTAGCCTATTTCTTCTGTAAATCCATTACGAACAAATTCGAATGATGTTGTTACTACCACATCTCAGGGGAATTTAGTTGCAACCCATACGAATTCAATCGTTTTGAATTTTACTGAACTAGGCTGAAATTTGTTTTTAATTTAAATTTGCCGTTTGTCTGTTTCTTCTTCTACTATTTTGATTTGTGTTTTCTTGTTCTTTATTTTTGTAACAGTTTTAAAATTGGAAATGACGACAACAGCAAATACTACAACTACGACTTTTATGAATACTTCTAAATGTAGTAATAATGATAATAGTTCAAATGCATTAGGAATTTACGATTATAGACGTAATAGTAATACGAAATCACAGCCACCACCACAATCAAATATTGTTGTTCCTCCTCCATCCCAACACAACCACCATAATAATAACAACAACAACAATTTATATTATCGTCAGCATCAAAATCAAGCAATTGGAATTATTGTCGGCGATAGTTGTACAGTCACAACAACAAAAGACTAAAGAGACAAAATTTGAAAGGAAAAAATTTTTGAAAATTGTCAACAACAATCACAAGAAAAAAAGACATAAATTAGTACAAAGTTAAAAAAAATATTCCTACTATTTATGTATTAAAAACAGAGAATAATAACCTAAATTTTAATTTTTATAATGCATAAGACAAAATTTTTCGTTTTTGTTTTTCTTTTGTAAACCTTTTTTTCTGTGAGGTAAGTTTTATTTTGTATTATTATTTTTTTCATTTTATTATTATTTTTTTGTTATAAATTAAATACTTTGTATTATGTTTTATAGTTTTTGTTACTAATTGATTATTATATTATTATTTTTTAGCATGTTTTATTCTGTTTATTATGTTATATTGTGTGTGTTTAAATGTTAACAGAAGCTCTTTAGGTAGAATTAATTGTAAAAACTGATATTTAGTGCAAATTCCGAATATGGTCCTTTCATCTATAGATGCAAAATTTTTCCTATATGGGACCCTTCCATAGACAAATGTTCTGCTCAGGTATTACAAATATATGAGTTATTTAACCATGTTCTATTGAAAAAAAAATGATGGGGAGATATTTAGTGTTGAAAAACATTTACAGCTCTTTTACTGTGCATTTAAAGACGACAATTTGTATAAGTATTCTACAGGATGAGATGAAAAAACTGCAACCAACTTCAGACTGCTGTCATTGCCACTTGTCCGAAAGCTTTTAAAAATTATTCCAGTGGTAGCTCATTATACTGCTTACAGGCATACAAATGCATTTTGCTGAGAATTTTCCAAAAAAAAAAATATATATATATATATATTCGTGATGGAATTCAATCGTCATAGTGTAATTTCTTTATATATGTGGCTGGAAAATTACAAATGGCTATCGTTAAAGCACTCCAGCAATTAAATGTGAATAAATCATTTGTCTTGTACCATCTCTGGTTGCCGTGGTACTTGTAGCGTAGCCTGACGTCAAGGAAGTGGACGGAAGAAAACAGCATCATAAGCAGAAATGGTTCGAAAAGAAGCGACTGAAAGAAGCGTGAGCTGAACACATCGCAATATTCGGCAAATATTAAAAAATGAGCTCGGGGTAATGCCATTGAAATTGCAAAAAGTGCAAGAACTTACACCACAACAGACAGAAAATAGACTCAAAAGAGCTAAAGAGTTGCTGCGATTAGCCGAAAGTGGTGAAGTGCCGAATTTGAGTTTCTCCGATGAGAAAACATTCGTTGTCCAGCATTTTTTAAACAAACAGCATGATCGTGTTTACTTGCCAAAGAGGTCAGCTGAAAATGTGCACCTTCGGTTGGCCACCAGAACTCAAGCGCCGGCCATGGTGATGGTGTGGGCCGGCATAACAGCTGATGGTCGACATTCCAACAGGTCTCAGTACCATCGCATTCAGCACGCGCCCCCAAGAATGGTTACAAAAATGAAGTTCCCCACTTCATTTTCAGCGCACAATGTCCAACAAAATCTCCGGATACCAATCCGTTATACTATTGTGTGTCTGGAGTATTTTGAAAAGGTGACCAATTCGAACAAATCTAAATTTATTCTAAAATTTTATGCTTTTTCCGACATTTTTTGCTTTCATTCGAACAAATTTTAAAAAGTGTAAACATTATGGCGTTTGACGTTGTTGCAGTTTTTTTTATCTCATCCTGTATAATAAATTAAAGATATTATATAGCTTTTCTGTTCGTCTATAAAAACCACAGAAAAAACCTCAATTAGATTTCTTAAAATTATCTTTTATAAAAGAGACCTCATGTTCTGTTCTGTCTATAAAAACCACAGGAAAAACTTCAATTAGATCACCCAACATTAATTTTTATAAAATAGACCTGTAAATAATCCCAAGTCCTATCTTGAACCATAAATATGTAAAATTCTAAACGTCCTTCGTTTTATAACTATGCTTGACAATATCTTGTAAATAAAAGACCTCTTCTCATTACAGGAGACATATATTAAGTTAAGGAAAAGGCTTATCGGATAATTGTTACATTTCCATAAATTAATTGCACGTTTTTAGTCACGTTATTTATATTTTTTAAAATTATTATTGTCGTATTAAAATTTTCTAAACAAATTTCAAACCTAACCTCATAAATTGTTTAATCTCCAAAAGTGACAAAGACACTTTCTGTTTCAGCATTTATGGATATTATATAGTTCATATATTTATAATTTTTTTTTTAATTTTGGTATTTACATTTTTTTCAAACTAACCTCAAAACATACCTAACCTTAAAATAAGTTTATATTGTCTTAATAAAAATAATAATCAAATGTGTATGTCAGCAAGATTTTCTTGGATAGGTTATGCTCAATTTGATTATTTATTAGTTAAATACAAACTACAGTTTTGAATGTTCGCCAGTCATTTTTATCTTAATTCTCTGGTGCCACATGCTCAAGACTCAATTTGTAAAACAGTAAATATGAAAACATATGTAAAATTATATATTTTTTGATAATTAAAAAAGGAAAATATTGATTTTCGGACCAATAAAGGCCAGTTAAATACAAAATTATTATTTTATTCATGAGAATGCTGTAAATGTTCTTTAGAAACTGATTAATGGCAGTATATGAAAATTACGCCTAAAAGTATGCTACGATAATTGCAATATTAAGCACATGTTAATTCGTTTCGTTGTACAAAAAAAATGTGATTATTAGAAAAACTTTTAATGCAATTTATAGTATTTTGAATTTTTTAGTTTTTTTAATATTTATTTTTTGTCTAGCTTTATGTTTAAATATAATTTATTCTGAATAACACTTTTGTACTAATTTATGAAAACTATTTGTCGATTTGTGACGTTTTTTATGAATTAGCAAAGAAATTCATTAAATTGGTAAATTTGGATTGATTAGTTATACCCCGTGAAATTACCGAAATATATCTTTCCAAATTACAAATTCACTGAATTTCAATAGTGGCTTCGTGACCAATAAAAATAACTATATTCCAATGGGGAATTAAAAAATGTATATCTATTCCAATCCCAAAAATCCTACATTTTCCCACAACCCTACAAAACATACACACCACCACCCATCATATACAAATCAATTATATTTAGAATATTACTAACATTTCGGGTTTAGAAAAAATGCATTAGTTCTAAATTAAAAATAAATATATACATTTTTTTATATACTGAAAAATATAACAATAAAAATATGTTTTTTTCTCTTCTTCTTTCCTTGCTCCTTGCACCAACCACAATTAATAATGTGAAATCGAATTCCAATAACTTTGGATAGATGACGTTATTGCAGCTGATGATGAAACCCATTGGCAGCATCGTGTCAGCTCGGGTTTTGATCGTCTGGTGGCATTTGCCTCCACCGAATTGGATAAAACTCGTCGCTCCATTGATACCGATACGGTGCCCTCATCGATTAGCTGTAATACTTCACCAGATTCGGGTATCACACACAGTAGTAGTAATTCGGAAGCGGCCCGTACCTTCCTTTCCACATCGTCAACATCGTCTCAGCTGGATTTACCCATCAGCAGTGGCAGTAGTACCTCATCAAGTGGTAACAGCAGTTTTATGAGTGGTGGTCACAATAATTTACATCATCACCATTCCTCGTCCTCGTCATCACATCCCGATCATTTAAGCGACAGCAGTATGAAATCTTCCCACTCGGCTGATATGATGAATTCGTTGCCGATCACCTTGAAGAATTGTTCATCGCCACAAGATGCGAGCAGTGCTATTGATAGTCCACCATTATCGGATATGGGTTTGCCACGTACACCCAGTCCCAGTGTCACTCTGAATACACCGCCTCCTGGTGGTTTGATGACACATCAGTTGGAACAAAGTGGTGGTATTGGCGTGGGTAACAGCTTAAAAATCCCCCTCAAATATCAACGCAAATCAAAAACATCTTTGGAAAAACATTACAAAAAGAAGTTTTGTGAACGTAATTGGGAATATGATTGTGATGAAATATTGGCCTATTCCAATTCATCATCCACAGCGGCTGCCGATGCTGCTGGGACCACCACAACAAATAGCAGCGGTACAAATCAAAACAGCCACAATGGGCCCTCATTGCTTGAAGGAGGCAACTCATCATCTGGGGTGGATCAAATTGATGGTTTGCCGTTAACAAATAATAATAACAACAATGATATGCAACAACAACAACTACAACAAAATGCCACGGCGGTGCAACAACAGCAGCATCATAAATCATCGAAATTTCGTCCCAAGGGCAAAGATTGGGATTGGTCAATGGACAGTAATAGCAGTAATATAAGTACGGGGCAAAAAACCCAGAAATCATCAAACTCCATGGATAATATGATGTTGTCGTCCAATAACAACAACAACATGATGACAACATCATCATCAGCATTAGGCAATAATAATAACAACAACAACAATTTATCCCTACATTCACAAAAAGCTTCAATAATTAATTAGAAAAGTGTTTATAATCGAATTCTTATATGAATTGTCTTTAATTAAATTTTTTTCTTTGTTTTCTTTTCTTATTAATTCATTTTTCTTTTGAAATAAAACTTTGTTTTTTTTTTCTGTTTTGTATTTAATTTTGTTTCAAATAATCTACAATATTATTATTATTTATATAAGTTTCTTTTTTTTTTTTTAAAATAGTTAATTAAAAATTAGTTTAAGTACAAAACAAAAATACAACTAATTATTAAATTGTTAATTTAACTTTATGTGTTTATTATTATATAATATTGAGTTTATATTTTTCATCTGTTCCATGTTCTTTTTTTGTTCAAAATAACTCTTCGTTTTTTTCTATTCTATTTTGTTTGTTTTTAATGTACATTTTTATTAGTAATAAATTAGTAACTTTTTTTCTAAAAAAAAATGAATTTGTTTTTTTTATTTCACTTTATTTGTTATGGTTTGTGGTAATATCTATGGGTATACTTAAAAAAATTTAAAAAAACATAACCTCAAAGTAAAGGAGTGTTGCAATAGGAAATTATGTCGGCTTTGTTTATTGAATTTTTTATGATTTAATAAATAATTAATTATATTGAAATATTAGTTTTTTTTAAATCATAACGACCCGATCAGTAAACACAGACCCCATTATTTCATATTGCAACACTGTTTTAATTTTGAGGTTATGATTTTTTTGTTATCTTTAAAAATTATATTAATTCTAACCTTAAAAAATTCAAATATTAAAGTTCAATTTTTGTAATTCTCTTTATTTGGCCCATCGTATTTTTTTTTACAATAAACTATTGATATTAACATATTTAGAAAACTCATAAATCTAACCTCAAAACTGTGAAAATTTGTGGTTAACACAATAAGGGGATATTTATTTCAAACAAAATGTGAATTTTCTATTTCCGAAATTTTTTTGCAAGACCAAAACAATAATTTTATTTTGAATTACATTATTTGATTGAAATTCTTTTTTTTTTTTTAATATCATAACATAACCTCAAAATTAAACGAGCAGTTTTGTATTATAATTAAGGGATGAGAGTTAAAAAAATGTGTCTATATAATTTTAAAAATTTTCAAATACCAATTCACATAACCTAACCTCAAAAAATATAATATTTTGTGTTAATGTCTAAAAAAACAAAGATTGGTATATTTTTATTTGAAAACGATGTATTTAGAAATATTCACCGGAAACCCCATAAAGTATCAGAAGGATCTTAATAAATATTTTGGCGATTTAACCAAGTTCGTCTAACAGTCCCTCTGTCTGTTGAAATGATTATATAGCTCGCAATATTTAAGGTAGAGTTTTGAAAATGTGCACATACATTGTCATCTACTTCTAGGATGTCGGGAATTAAAAATGAAATGAAATCACTCCACGTTTTGGTACAAACCCCATATAATGGTATCCGCAATATTGGAAGTTTTGTAAGATTTTGGCCACGCATTTGAACTGAATTTGCTCAAATTTGATATTTTTGGCTTTTATTTGTGTAGCAACTCTTCTTATCAAAAATATCAGTATTAGGCTACTTTTTAGGATAGCCCACACACAAGGGTATTTGCTAAATTTCGGTATTTTAACACATTTGTAACCCAAATTGTCTGTAATTTATATTTTGGGTTCTCATTGGATATAAATTCTCCCAGACAAAAAATATTCAGAGCATAGAACATTTTGGGCTCGTTTTTTAATCGAATTGATATTTTTGGGTTTTCAGTGGATGTGAAATCTTCGCAACAAAAACTATAAACATCGGTCAATGTCTTGGTATAGCTATCATATTATTTTAGATATTTGAAGATTTCATAGACATAGACAGCAGTGTTGCCAACCATGTGAAATATTATAAGGATAAATTTGACAGATGGTCGAGACAAAAACAAAGGTTTTTGTTTTAATACATCACTTTATTATTGCAACATGGGTGTACGGTATTAGAAGTTGTTCTGTACACTGATTTTGATTGGTTCGAAAAAGTGAGATTCGGTAATTGATTAAAAATCACCTTGTTTAGCTTTCAATTAGAATTTTAAATTTTTTAATGAATTATTTTACACAATTCGCGTCTATATAAATAAAAATAAAAACATTCATAAAAAAATTATTCGAACAAAATGTTTAGGCACGAATATAAGAATATAAGAAGTGAAAACGATATCGAACAAACTGATTAACATATACATACATATATAAAAATACATATATATTTAATGCCTTTAAATGTGCCAAACATTTGTATCCAGAATTTTGAGAAAAACAGTAAAAAATAATTATTTTTAATACTTTTTTAAATTAATTTTCTTTCGATTTTCAATTTTTCTTTAAATAATACTTAATAATTATTTATTTTTAAATAATAATTATTTTTTAAATAAAATATTTGTTTTTTTATGAATAAAAATTATACTTTTTATAAAAACAAAATCTAAAAAGAAAAAAAATAATACAAGAACAAGAGAAATTTAGCAAAATTTTAATTTTAGTATTATTGTAAATTTAACAAAAACAAAAAATAAACAAATAAATTATATAATTAAAAATAAAAAAGTATATGTAGTATATCTCAACAAAATATATATAATACAACAAACAAACACCAAGCAGTATTGAAATTTATAAAAAAATAAACAAAATAACAAAAAAATTTAGAGAATAACAAAATGAAACGGAAAATATATACAATATATATAAAAAAGATATAGAAAAAATAAAACTATGTTACACAGTGCTATAAAATCAATTTTTTAATAAAAATATAAAATGACATGAAATATTTCCACAGAAATGGTTATTGGTAATAACCGATTTGCGTAGAAGAAAATTTTATCGAAAATATTAGTTTTTATAGGAAAAAATAGGTATCTTTAGATACAATATGACTTAAAAGTGGCTCCATAACAACTTCTTGCTAATTTAAAATTAAAAAAATAACAATTATACTATTTATTTATAGAAAACTTGATCGGTAACAAAGAAAATTAATCGATAACAAGTGTATTTTGTTGGGGAATGATCTATAACTCATTTAAAAAGTGGATCGTTAACAAATGTTTCGTTAGAAAAGTTAATCGATAACAAAATTTTCTATAAAAAAAACTAATCGATAACAACTTCTTCGTTCTAATGACCTATAACTCATTTTTCGATTTAAAAGTTAATCGTTAACAAATGTTTCGTTAGAAAAGTTAATCGATAACAAAATTTTCTATAAAAAACCTAATCGATAACAACTTCTTCTTTCTAATTTAAAATTAAAAAAAAAAAACAATATATTGTTTATCTATAGAAAACTATATCGATAACAATTTTTTTTTCTAATTTAAAAAAAAAAAACCATAACAATTTTTTTCTGCAGAAACTTAATTCGATAACCACTGTCCTGTGTTGGGGAATGATCTATAACTCATTTTTCTATTTAAAAGTGGATCGTTAACAAATGTTTCTTTAGAAATGTTAATCGATAACAAAATTTTCTATAATAAAAATTAATCGATAAAATATTTGTCTATAGAAAACTTAATCCGATAACAAATGTTTTTCGTTGGTGATTTATGGATCGCTTTTCAATTGGAAACTGGATCGATAACAAATGTTTCTTTAGAAAAGTTAATCGATATCAACCTTTTCTATAAAAAAAATAATAATCGATAAAATATTTGTCCATAGAAAACATAATCGATAAGAACATTTTGCATGCAAATTTTGAGGATAATTTTTACCAAGATCTATTAATAAGGTCACCCAGTTCGCGAAAATCAGCTGTTTTTTCTCAAGTATAATGTCAAAGATTTGGACTTTGTTTACGTTTTCATAATGGAAGTCAAGTCACAAAAATGGATTTTGACAGCAAACTTGAGAGGTATCGATTATCAGCTATAAAAAATGTTAATAATAATATAAATAATAACAATATTGTCTATGTAGGAGTGAATTTGCTTCTAGAAATTTTGATTGTTAACATGTTATTCATAAAAAAAACATTGATCGATAACATATTTTGCTATATTCGAATGAATCGATAATAACGATTTTAATAGATAAGCTATTCGATAACAATATTTTCTCTAGAAATGTATACTATTTTTTTTCTAGAAAAGTTCTCACTTGTATTTATAACAAATGTAATCGATAACAATATTTTATTTCCCATTGAATTGCTAGCACTGTGTAATAAAAATTGAAAAATTCTAAAGAATTTTTGACACCTCAGCGAAATATTACAGAGAATATTTATTAATAATATATTATTAAATAAAATAGAAATAAAAACAAAAATTAAACAATTTTCCATAGAATTTCCTTTTTATTAAAATTTATTTTTTTCTAACAACAAAGCCCTATAACAAACAACCAACCAACCAACAACAAACGATAACAACATACTTTAACTTAAAAGCAAATAATACAAATCAGGTAATTTTGTTTTTAATAATAAAAAAATGGAATAAGGCACAATTTTTTATAAATAAAACTATGAAAAATTAAAAAAAAAAAACATTTTAATAATATAATAAAAAACAATATACGTAATAATTATATAATAATAACGACAAGAGAAAACATGAAATAATTGTAAAGGATTTCAAAATAAAGTAACCAACAACAACAAAAAGAACAATGTGCTATTAGATAATTAAATAAAAATACCCTCTAGAAATATCAAGAAAAAATAAAACAAACAAAAAACAACAACTTAATAAATAATATTATAAAGTGTAGTATTAATAACTGAATCTATGGGAAAAATAAATATAGACACGCCAACACACTCACACACACATCCACATCTATCAAACAAATAGAATGTA